TAAAGCTCTCAGCCCATTCTAGGCACACGCATTCCCACTGTGTACTGACCCCCGTTGCTTGCCTTCTTTCTGCACTGTCCCGGGACTACAGAACAGTGCAAGCATGTTTAAGATACAGTTGGTTTATGGAGACTGGTCTTGCAATTTGGAATTACAACATATTGATATTTTTCAGTTACAGAGCAGTCATCAATTACATATTCAAGAAATTAACTTACACCTCAACGTCGAGGATTTAAGGCAGACATGAGAAGGCTCCTTCTATCACCAAATGCTTCTGAGAGCCAAAGAATTATATAAGAAGCAACCGGAGTTTGCCTCTGCAAAGCATGACACAGCAGGGTCCCTCCTAGAGCAGGCGTGAGGAGCAGACCCCTAGCCACGTCCTGCTCAGATCCCTGGACTCTTGAGCAACATGTGTTTGAGCTGCGTAGGACTACTTACCTGCAGATTTTTTTTTCAATAAGTAAATTGGAAAATCATTTGGACATTTGCAACAATTTGAAAAAACATCTTCTTTTTTCTAGCTTGCTTTATTGCAAAAATACAGTACATAAAACACATAACATATAAAATATGTTAATCAGCTGTTTATGTTATCAGAAAGTTTTCTAGTCAGTGGTATACATGGATTTTTCAATTGCACAGGGAGTCGGTACCCCTAACCCGAGTTGCTGAAAGGTCATCTGTGTGTGTGTGTGTGTGTGTGTGTGTTTACAGAGAGAGAGAGAGAGCATGCAGCGGAGCATGAGCAAGAACTAAACCCTCACATTCCCCAAGTTGCTTGAAATAAATTTCAATAGTAAAAGTTTGGGGATTTTTAAATTAAATTAATTTTTTTGGAGACACTTTTTTTCTACTAAATACTACCAAATAGTTTTAAATTTTTGATAAATTTTTATTTAAGTATATATGATATACAATATTATAGCGACTGACTATATTCTCTATACTGTGACTAATTTATATTATGACTGGGGTTTTGTGTTTCCTTATCCCCTTCATCCAGTTCACGCACACACACCCCAACCAGGGTAACCGCCAGTCACTTCTCGGTGTCTGATTCTACTGCTGTTTTGTCTGCTTTTGTTTTGTTTTTAGATTCTACTTATAAGTGAAATCATGTGATATTTGCCTTTCTCCAGCTGTCTTATTTCACTTAGCACATTACCCCCTAAGTCCATCCATGTTGTTGCAAATGGCAGAATTTCTTTCTTTTTTACAGCTGAGTAATACTCCATAGTGAATATGTACCAGGTCTTCTTTATTATCATTCATCTATTGACAGACCCTTTGGGTGCTTCTCTATCTTGGCCTCTGTAATAATGTGGCAATAAATATAGGGCTGCATATATCTCCTTGGCTCAGAGATTTTGTTTTCTTTTGGTAAATTCCTAGAAGTGGAATGACCAGGCCATATGTATTTCTATTTTTAGTTTTTTCTGAGAAGCCTCCACACTGCTTTCCACAGTGGCTGCCCCAATTTTCATTCCCACCAACAGTGTAGGAGGGCTCCCTTTTTTCCATATCCTCGCCAACACTTGTTATTTCTTGTCTTTTGGAGAGTAGCCATTCTGACAGGTGCAAGGAGATTTCATTGTGGTTTTGATTTGCATTTTGGGGATTGTTTTTTTTTTTTAAGGCAAAGGTATAGTTTCTTTATTCCCAACTGAATTAATTGAACATTACTTCTCCAACCTCTGCAGCAGAGCTAACACTTGGTAACCATGGTTTGTGTGTGAAGTGCACCAGAACCCTTGGCTGGCACCACCTCCTCCGCAGCAATGCAGTGTACACAGCAGAAGGGGAAGGTTCTGGTTTTACAGCCTTGTATCACCAACCCCACAGAGACCAGGACAGAGATTTTTACATAGGCTAATGAAATAAGCTCTAAAGCAAACAAACCCATGTCTACATTCAGTGCACCGGAAATAGGGAGACACTGACCTGAAGAACTCCTCCAGGAGAATCATGAAATACTTGCAGGGGCATCAATGACACTGCAAAAAGGCCCCCTGAGAACAAGTGAGGCCGTGTCCTCTAAGCCCACTCACAGCGGGGAGTTTGCAGTCTCCTCAATAATCCCTATCTTCCAGATACCTTCAGCCCCTTTCCTGCTCTTCCAGGATGCAGTGAGCCGAGATCTGTCAGAGGGACACAGTGCTGGCAGCTCCTTCCTGTCACTGCAGCAGGTGCCAGCCCAGGTGGCATGGAGGGACAAGGGTGTCACCACCATGGAAGGGTCGCCTTCCCTCAAGTCCAGAAATCAAGACGCTGAGCTTACATCTCCCTTCCCCACAGACAGGCTTCCTCCTCAGTCATCACATTTTCCTCATGTGTAGGGAACAACAGGTGGAACAGCAGGCCAGAGGAAGGGACCAGAGACAACCAGGACGCCCAAGTCTGGGCTCATTAGCATCTACCTGTACAGGTCAACAATCTCTCATCTGAAACCTTGGGAGCCAGGTGGATTTTGGAATTCAGTTTTCTTTTTTTTGGATTTTAGGAAGCTAATGAACACCCTCAACAGAGTATAAGGAAGCTTTCTATAAACTCATCAATAATTTTTTGTACCAAAACATGAATATTCATACTAATCTTTCTTCAGGTCAGTCAAATTAATTATGAAAAGAAATCCAGAGTTCTCAAGGATGGGGGACTTGGGACCACCTGGCTCACCCAACTCCAAGAGGTATCTCAATTCAGTCACTCAGGGAACAAAGATCCACAGCAGGCAACTGACGGAAGGCACAACTTTCCAAACCCAGTAGACAGTCCCTGCCTTGGGAGGCCCATGGTACAGACCAGCTGAGATGGGCGCAGGCCTGGTATGAAGAATCTCTGACCTAGAAAAATACCTTCTGAGTTGAGCTTCTCTAGCCTCAGAATCCAAAGGGATTCCATAGTGCCCTTCCTATTCAGAGAATCAGACCCTGGGACTCTGGCACAGGGATCCAGAAACAACATACATCCAATCATAGACCATGTAGGACTCACATGCAGAAGCAGACCAGATTTTTCAGATTCCTGACCCCATGTGCCTGGGCCCAGTGGTCCAGGGCAAATCATGCTTTGATCTTTATACCTTTAGGAAGTAGAACATCCTATAGCTGCTTTTTCTCTGCCCCCTTAAATACCAGCATCCCCAGGTTCCACTTCCCACATGTTCCCAGATAACCATCCGCACTCCCATGATCCCATCACTGGTTCTGGCCAATAGAAGGTGAGCAGGAAAGCCATGTGTCACTTCTGGCTGGGATATTTAGCACCTGTGCACCATCCTCTGTTCTCCCCTCCATGATGCCAGGACAGGGTGGTGTAGAATCACAACAGAAGCATTCCAGGTCCTGGAATCAATGCCTAGAAAAAGCCACCGGATGTGCACTGAATTCTATGAAGAAACATTACTGAGAGTTTGCAACCACCTGACATAGCAGCTAGTGTTCATTATCCCCATACACCTGCCTTTCCATCTGTCAACTTCCTATTTATTGCTGGATACTCCAGTCCAAATGCCCACCTCCTCTGTGAAGCCCAGCTTCCACAGGAAGGCCAGCCACCCCGTCCTGTAACCTCTAGCAATTCACTCATACACGAGGCACCGCAGTTCCTGAAGCTATTGACACATTTCTGTTTACACGGTTGGCTCCCACATTTGTGTATGCTTTTTTATCTCTGTATTCTTGGTGCCTTGGAAGAAGCAAACATTCAATAGGTTTGATCAGAGCTTTCCTGTTCATGTGACCAGCAAACCCCAAGTCAGCATTTTCCCGGAGTCACCGTGTTCTGGGCGCCAGCTCCGTACTGTGGTAGGAGGCAGAAAAGGAGGACGCTGTTGCCCACCTCAAGGAGTGTTTTTTATCCTTAGATCCTATGCAACCCATTATCTCCCAACTTTATTAAAGGACAGCTTCCGCCTAAAAAGTGCATGGTCTTTTCAGGAACTCTCTGCTAAAATGCTCTTCAGAAAGCAGATCAAAGAGGGGTTTTTCAGTGATGAGATGAAAGAAGAATAGGACTCCCGTGACCCCTCTGAGCCTGGCTCCCCCAAGCCTGCAGCAGTTTAGATGAGTGGCCTGCAGTTCTGAGGCCATGCAGCTGTGCCAGAGTTATTTCTAGTGTGAGAAGAGCTACAGCAAAAGCATTGCTGGCTCCACAGGGACCTGGATGTGGAGAGGACGGCCTAGCTGTGCTGAGTCATGTCATCACCTCTAGGCCAAACTTCCCAAACCAAAAGCACAAAACCGTGTCACTGGTCAGGGAAACAGAACAAGGGACCTTTGCTTTTAACACACAACAAACTAGGGAGAGCATTGCATGCTGCGTGTAATTCCCATTCTCCCAGCTCTCTCAGGGATGTGACATAACTTATTCCAGGTCCGGGGAAATGGTGGCCATAAATGATGATCAATTATTAATGCACTATTTTCACAGTTGCTTCCACAGATGAGCATTTCACATGCCGCGGGTGTGGCTTTGCTGTAGACACCAAGACAAGCCACTTCAGATACAGTACATGTGAGGCTGGCTGCTAGTGTCGGCACCCTAGGGTTCAGACAAAACCATCCACAACAAAGGGCTGTGGTAAACCCAGGGGCCATGCCCACAGCTGCAGGAGGGCGCAGTGGGGCTCCTGGGTCATAGTCCCACTAGGACTCTCAGAGTGGTATAGGGAACAAGGCTAGACTTCACAGTATGCAGAAGGCTGGGAACTACAGGCAGTAAGGAAAAGAGGAAAAAAATTTAAAGAATGGAAAGGTAACTTAGTAAAAGGGAGTGGTAGAGTTTAGGGGAGTTGGGAGAGTACAGTTTGATGTTAAGTGTAACCAGTACATCAAAATAGGGGGCACACATAGTCACAGATATACACAGGAAATTGTTCCTAGTTGGTACATTATGGGTCGAGTGAATAAACCAATGAATGCCCCTGCCAAATCCATTCAAGATACCAGCATACATGGAAAGAAATGGACTGAAAACACCATTGTCAGGCAACTTACCTTGTATGAAGATCCTATTCCAGTAGATTTTCCCCACTTGATTGCCTCCGAGAAACACCAGGTTGGACAGGATCAGCATGGAGGTGGAACAAGATGCAAGAGCAGCGTGGAACCGCCGGAGAGCTTGCGGGGAGAAGAACTGGACCTAAGCGAGGAGAAAGCAAGAGGCCCCTTGTCACAAGGCTCAAGCACAGGGCTGAGATGCGTTCCAGTCTTTCTCTGCTACCAGACCAGGATGTCTCCCACCAGGGCCTGAGTTACCTTGTTATTTAACCAGCTCCCCAAACTTCTGTTCCTGCAACATGCTCATTTTGGTCTAAGGCCAGAAGTGGTGTACCCCCAAGTCATTACTTCCTCCTGCCAAAGTGGGCTTCCTCTGATAGGTGTAACTCAAGTACTGGAGCGAGTTAAGATTTAGCTGAAATATCTCCACATGTTTTCTGCATGTAATCTACAGATACAAGAACTGTGTAAACTGCTCTCCATGATTACAAGTCACAACTCCATGTAAAGAGGTCACGATCAGGGGGTTCTTCTGGGGTAGCTAACTTGGCCCTGAGAAGCCACCCTGTAAATCTGATCCACAATTAGGAGGAATCTTGTTAAGAGGGGGCAGGAGAATCAGTAAAAGCCAACCCCACTCCTGGAATCAACGCTCAGGGTCAATGCCCCTGATAATGAGCCTGCAGCATTAGAGAACGGTGGCTTATTATGGCACATGAAATCGGCAGAAAATGGAGAGATGTTTTCCAGCTATGATGATAAAGAATTCTGCTCATCTGTATAAGGTCTTCATTGCACTTTTTCCTTCCCTTTCAATATCTTCTCAGGGATTTCATAAGTAAATAAAGCTTTCATTTCTCAGCACTGACCACTCTGGTGGCCCTACTGAGTGAGACCCAAGTGCCACTTCTGCAGGTGAGCCCCACCAGCATGTCCTCGGGACTGTGATTCAGAAAGAGAACCAGGTACAGTGCCACAGCCAGACACACAGGGTCTCAGGGTTTCTGACAAATACCACAGCTTATTCCAAAGACGTGGGAAAGAGGGAGCAAAGGGTCTAGAGACCGTTCCTGAATATCCTCCTGAAACCTACATATCTCTGGGGACACTTGTATCCTGATCTCAGCTGTGCTCCAGTTACAAATAGAATTCTGAATTCCCCAGATCACGCCAGGCAAAAAGGACTAAACTAGAGGGTGCATCTCCAGTAGGAGGTTTCCTTATTTCTGGTGACCCTGCTGTGGAGCATCAGAGGCCACTCTGTAAGCTTCAGTCAGTGTCCTCAGCAAATCTGGAAGGATGACTTGCTGACCGCCACCCCTCTCCTCTCCCGCCAGTCCCAGCATCTGTTCTGTATGCCTGGGTATCGCTGCTGCCATCTACCTTCCCACCCATGGCACTCCCCTCCAGCTTCACCCCAGAGCATGGTTTTACTGCCACCATATGTGAAAGTGAGGCCTTCTCATGGATAAGCTGTGTAGCAGGCAGTGTCTGCGGTGTCTGCCTGGACATGATTGCTCTGGAAAGCTCTCAGGTGATGCTGGTAGGACCACCACCCTGGTTAGATGACCTCTAGTCTCTCCCCCCTCTTGAAAAGGCCATGAGCGTGTACAGGGGATTCTGTCAGATAAGACCAGATGAGAGGTAACTACACATATAAAAACTGGTAATGAAGGAGAAATGGGGGAGAAGCAGGCTTGTAATTCAGTACTTTTCACTTCTGAGAATAAGGAGTCATGAATCTACCAATTTCTTCATTTTAGAACAGAGGGAGATATTTTATGGGTATTATGGACTCAATTAGCAGTAACTGGGGAGGCAGAATGAGAGAAAGCTGAGAAACAGAGGGAAATATCCAGAATAAAAATCAAGAAAATATGAATTGCTGCAATTGGCATAAATGTGTCCAAATAATTCTCTCCAGGTACAGGGCTGTCAATAACACATGTGATTTCTAAGAGAACCGATGAGTCAGACATTCCACTTCTGTTCTAACCCCATCGGTCTCCCCCAACCTTACATCCTATTAGGGGAATTCAAAGGCCCCCTGTAATCTTCCCCCATCAATGTGCACTACAGAGAGTGCACATAGCCTGGTTTAGCTCGAAGTGGTTTTCCTTTTATGGGAAATGATTGCAATTATTAAATAATCAACTGAGAGATAGAGAGAGAGAGAGACATTCTCTGCATTGAGTTTCTAAGCAGGGCCGCAGTGCCAGGTTACCTGATGCAGGACAAGGACCAGGCTGTGAGGAGGCAGGGCGAGGGGTGAGGGGCATAGCAAGGGCGGAGGTAAAGGGGAGAGTGAGTGCTACAGGCACGCAGCTCCCAGGGCCCTGGCTCCCACTCTTCTTCCTCTGAGTCTGTGATAACCCAAGTATGTCTCTCACTTACAGCAAGTCAATAAATCCCCACTTCTGCCTAGGAGGGAAAAAGTAAAAATAACAGCAAATATGAAGAAGTCTCTGATCCCAGCAACAGGAGGGAGGACGTCTAAAATCTGAAATGACTGGCTACAATTCAGTTTTTAGAAATAGCTCATTTTTCCAAATATAAGCAAGACTGTTCAGTGGCTGTTGGGACCAATAAGCTAGAAGGACTTAAAGGAGAAATCAAGATGCTCATAGGCAGTTCTTGGGTGTCCCCCAGGGTGAGTGGGTGGGAGACAAAATAGATGATGGTAAAGAAAACCCAAAAACCTAATTTTGACTAATAGCTCATCTTCTGAACTGACAGAATTAGCCTTGCCAATAAGCAACACACTGGACAGTATTGCTTCTCTTCATTATGGATCAGTAGGAGAGCAGAATGATGGGCCACAAGGAAGGAAAAGAGGGTACCATCCCCAGGAGGGTATCATTAACAGCGAAGGGTTTGCAAATCTTGGCTATAACCTGTCCCTTCTCTTTGGATTCCTTGGACACACTGTAAAAGGCAACAGATTTGATATTAGGGATCTCTCCCTCTACCTTGGGGACCATCTGGCCTCAGCCATTGGCTTATAGGAATTCTAGAAGTAAATCCCATACTTAGGGGTCCCAGGAGGGAAAAAAACCTTACGGGCAAGCCTGGAGGGATTTATTCCCGGAGTCCAGCCAGCTCCATCAATAAACAGGACTTTCTGACTCTCTAGGGCCAGTGTTCCCACTTCGAACCCTTTGTTTCTTTTACACTTTCCCCTCTGAAGTCCTACACAAATCACTGTCATCACGTGTGTGGTCCTTCACACCTACGATGCAGGCGGCCCACGTGCAGGGTCCACGCCTCGTGTGTCAGTCACCTGTTCTCTTTGCTAAGGTGCCAGAAAACCCCCCTGGAAAGGGAACTCATATTGAGGAATTGTAAACCAAATGGGGAAATAAATCGGTGTACTTTAGAGTTAACAGATGTGTTAGTAAGACTTGCCGACCTGATCAGATAAGGATACAACTGGTGAACAGAATGTGATTTTCATTAACGCAAATACATCAGGATAAAAAAAGAGCTCCGGTCGGGTCACGGTCTCTTCTCAGGACAGATGGGTCTGCGGCAATCCCAGTAAACACCGGGAGTGGCACCGTCCCCGGGGGGTGTCTGGCTGAGCAGTTCTGGTCGTCCCAAGGACAACACAGCTGCTAAGGGGACCCTGTGGTGTTTGATGGGCAGGAGGCAAGGATAACAGACACACCGCGAGGAGTGGGACAAACTCTGCTGCCCAAAAGGCCAACAGCTCCCTCTTGAGAAGGGGTGAAATGTTCTCTTGTGCGTTCATTATAGACTGAGTTCCCTCTGGGTCTATGGGGGCCCAGGAACTCTCCCTCCCTAATTAGCCACAATGCCAAAAACACGCTCCCTTTNCACCGCGAGGAGTGGGACAAACTCTGCTGCCCAAAAGGCCAACAGCTCCCTCTTGAGGGGTGAAATGTTCTCTTGTGCGTTCATTATAGACTGAGTTCCCTCTGGGTCTATGGGGGCCCAGGAACTCTCCCTCCCTAATTAGCCACAATGCCAAAAACACGCTCCCTTTTCCCTGGGGCCCAGAGAAACGCATCCCAGGGCAGGGAAAGCGTCCTTCGCAGCGTCCCACCCACCCGCTCACCCCCACCAAGTGTCCAGCTTGAGCAGGAGGAGCCTCCGCTGCCCGGCCGTGCGCAGGCGCGGTGTGCGGGGGTTCCAGGCCTCCGCACCCCCAGTCCGGACCCCGGAGTAACCGGAGCACCGGGAGGTGGGGCAGGTGAAAAAGCATCGGCGCTCCCACTGCCGGGGCACCGGGCCTCCTCAGGGACTCTGGATGCAATGACAGGTTGGGGCAGTCTCTCCCCATGTCAGTGCTGATACAGCCCCCTCTTCAGGCCCAGAGGCACGTACGGACTTGGGGCCGGGATACGTCAAGCCCCTCGGAGCACCGGCACGTGCAGGCCCGGGCAGACCCTCCTTCCTGTGTGCGAGTTCGCTGTCTGATGGAAAAAACAAGAGGTGGCATGTGGGCACGTTGTATAATGACTGTTCAGCCCCGCTCTGACCTTCCCTCTCAGGGGCCAGCGTCCAAAGGCGGGGACTGGCCCTGACACAGTGAACCTGAGGGCCGAACCGAACTCCTGCCAGTCCAGTTTGCAGTTCCTGCTGTGAGGTGGCAGCCGGGTGTTTGTTCGTATCTCCAAGGCAACACCTCTGTCTTTTCCAGTTGGAGTCCCGTCCCTGGAAATTGCAGGACTGGCTGGGGCAAACAAGCAGAGTCTGGGGGGGCGCAGTCTGCGTGATCTGGGTCAGAAGCGTCACTCAGAATGTCCGTCTGCCCGGGTGGGAGACAGATGGTGGGGTGGGGGGCTTCAGGGCTCGGTGGGCCCCACGCCTGTCCACGGAGGGGCTGCCCGTGGGGCCGGGGCGGGGGCTGAGCATCTGCAGGAGCAGATGGGCCGGAGGAGTGGCTGCTGGAGACTGACAAAGCCTTGGCAAGTAGGACCCAGTGCTGTTTATTTTTAAGTGGGGAGAAGCTAAAAAAAGAAACTGGGTGGGTTTGAGCAGCTGGACACCGCTCTTCCATATAATCACTGAAGTTTTTCATTTTCTAATAAAAATGCTAACCAGAGGGTAAGAGAGGATGAACAAGGATATTGGCAAAGGGGAGACTGGTGGGCACCAGGGAGAGAGCCAATGAGGGGT